AATTATTTACAAATTCAAAATATTCTCATCAATCATTGTTGATGAGATTTTTTTATAAAATCAAATGAATAGACCATCTCAAAATTTCTTCTAAATTAAGGTTTTAAAAAAAATTAAATTAAGATAACAAAAGTTGTAGGAGGTAATAACAAAATCACATGAGTTGATAATTAAAACAAAGAATTAACAATAATAATGAATAACAATAAATAACCAATAGATATAAAATAAATAAGAAATTAATAAAGTAAAATATGATACGCACTACCATATAAATAAATAATAACTATAACGATAAACAACTAACGGTCAACGATCAAACAATGAGTTATGATTTATAGTAAAATGCTAAAAATCTATTAAGAATATAAGTGAAAGAAATATCACTACCTGATCATTTCCAAAGATTGTATTTTTTGTACAATGCGTAGGATTGACACTTTGTTGTGCCCTTTCGAAAATGTCATGACCTTCTTGTACTTGTGGCTGCAATAACAGTTTAAGTATAAATGTCATAAAAAACGTATTCTAATTATAAAAATCACAAATCAAAAATAAAATTGAAATGGAAAGAGTTCGTATTTCTTTCAATTTTTTTTATCTTTAAACAGATTCTTTTACCATCATTATTTTCTAATGAATAAAATTGTTAATTTTTCTTTCATTGCATTGAAATATTTGGATTAAAGAATGTTAGTTCAAGAAAGAAAAATACCTCACGAAAGGCAGTGTAAGGGCCCTAAAAAAAAGAAGAAAAGCATAAAGAGTTAGAATTTCTTCAAATAAGAGTTAGATCTATACAATTAGCACTTTTATAAAACCTTTAAACTACCAAAGTATTTAAATTTCTTAATGATTGAACACTGTAAAATAAATTTAAAGCTTTAAAAATTATATTACCCTCTGTGCAGATATTCCATATGTAAGGGATGGATCGGAGCTACCAACAGGGTGGTAGTGATGTTGCCGTTGGTTAGGCATTGGTCCAGAGCTTCCTTGACCATCAAGCCCTTGTGGTTCAGGTATCAACCTTGAAATCTTTTGACCATGTTGCCGCTGATCCCCTCGTGGCATAGAGCTAGAGCTGGGTTGATAAGCGTACTGCCATTGGTGTCCAGAGACAGGAGTTGATTGCCCTCGATAGCCAGCAACTGCCACAAGTGTTTGTGAATCTAGCTGACAACAACCAGAAGATGGGTGTGGTAGATCCCTTTGGCAGTGACTTGATGGTTGCTGCCATTGTAAGTGGAATTCAGTCACCACTGGTGGTGACTCTTCTTTCTTTTTATATGTGGTGTTCTCCTCATTAACTTCATCATTGATAATCACCATTTTGTTTTACAGCAAGGGCTCCTAAAATGCTATGGCCAACAAAAAATGAAAAAGTTCTCAAAATGTTAAATG